TTTTTTTTTTTCACTTCAATAAAATTTTATTTATTAATCTCTATTTTTCGCTACCAATAAAGCATAAATTTTTTGTTAGCACTTATAAAAAGAAATAGGAAAAGTAAGAAAAAAACTGTTCAAAAATAGTTGGATAATAATTTAAACTATTATATTACTTGCAACTGGTAGTTGTACAAAAACTATACAGTACTGTTTTGGTCTCAGATTACCTAACTGAGAATTTTTTTGTTCAATTAGAATAAAGTTAAAATAGAGTAAAGAGAAAAAAATAATTAGAATTGTTTTACAATTTTGTAATAAGAAATATTAAATGAGGAAAAAAAAAGTGTTAGTAAAATACTGAAATTTACATATTTTTTTATCTTTTATTTTTTCTTCCTCAAATTTTTTCTTTTATAGCTTCTTTTGCCCTTTTTTCTGTTCTCTTTTTTTCTAATTTTTTTTTACTTCTAAACATAAATACTTCTTATTTTTTAGTTTATATTAAATTTTATTCTTTATATTTTTAAAATTATAGCTGTTACTGAAAAATATAGCTGAAGCTGTTATTGCTGTTATAGCTGTTACTATCTTTTTAAAGATGTATATTTGATGTGCACTAATTAACCAGTTTACCTCTGCAGCTAAACATGAAGAAAATAAACTGACAATGTAGAAAGCATTTTATAAAAAGTGTTCCACTATTTCTTAACTAACTGAACCTGTTTTAGATACCAAAAATTTTTATACGATTACGAGTGCGAGAAAGAAGGTTTAAGCAGTCCGGCAGATTTGCAACAAGCGATTGACGGCAATCGACGTGAGGGCCGTCGATCAACGTCCAGTAACTCAAATTTCCCACAAATTGGTTACTCGTTATCCCATCACAATCCTTCTTCTTTGCTCAATAAACGTTCAAATGGATCTCTCAACTTTCGAAACGGTACAGTCTTTTTCTTCTAATTGTAGACATTTTTCTGCATATTTAGGTCATTATTTACTACAGTTTACAGATGATCCTGGTCTTGGGCCATCAGCTTCACAACAAGCTGCTTTTGTTGCTGCATATCGAGCTGAACAAATTGCTGCTCTACAAGCTCATCAGCGGCAACTAGAAAAAGCTCAGAGGTAATCAAGGCAAATTAGCTAAGTGCTTTATTTAACATGCTTTAAAGAAACAGTCATTGTACACTGAACAAATTCTTGTAACCTTTTTTTTTATGAGAGTAATAAATTTAGAGCAGCTGTAGAGGCAGCTTCACGTCAGACTTATCACGCTTCATTATCTGGGCGTGAGTCTACATCATCTGTTGACTCAGATGGCACACCAGCTAAAAGACCTCGGCGATCATCAGAATCAAAAAATGACACGAATGAGGAGAACTGTACAGGGTGTACCAACGAACAGTCAACTGACAGACTTTTTGATACGATTCCTTCAGCACATTTAAAGATTACAAGCCGTGGAGGTAAAATTTTTTAGAAAGAAGAACTTAGAAGCCTTCTATGCTATTCTACTGTCTTTTTTTACTTTTAGTTTTTGCTCAGACTTATAAGCGGAAAAAAGCAAAACCTCTTATTGTCTTGTCTGAAAGGCACAGTAAGACTAAAATAAGAATAGGAATAATAAAATGGGTCGCTAATTGCAAACAGAATTTCGTGCATGTATCTAAATAGGTTTTTGTCGTTCACAAAAAATTTGATTTTGCTAGTCAGTATAATATTATTCATTCAACAGTCAGACCATACTTAGCTGATTTTGGTTTAGAAGAATCATTAGGCACAGTGATATGAACTTCAATATTATCCCCCGTTTGGTTTTAGGAACGAATAGCACAAAAAGTTCGCTGGTGGTGTCGATGGAAATAAATGGTATCATGTATCAAGGAGTGCTGTTTGCACTGAATCCGTCGTTGCAGGTAACCACCCAAGAAGATGCTGCTTCAGATACCGGTGATGGCAACAGTATCACGAATTCTCTAAAAATTGCTTTGTAG